CCCCTACACACACACACACACACACACACACACACACACACACCACCCTCCACCCAGTACACACACACACCACCCTCTACCCAGTACACACACACACATACACACACACATGCCACCCTCCACTCAGTACCCTTGCCCCTACACACACACACACACACACACACACACACACACACACACAGAGGTATACACCGCTTATAGACAGGACTGTTAAGCCTGGTGGTTGGGAAGAGTATCCTGGGGACTGGCTTCTCTACCGTGCCCCCCCCCTCCAGTCCCCATCCTTCCCACTCCCTTCCTTCAGCAGACATTCTCCACTCCGAAACCTCTTCAGTCCCCTATGGCCAGGTGCCAAGCTTTAGCTACACAAATGCCTCACCCCAGGAGCAAAAAACAGAATCAGTCTGGTTCAATTGTTCACCAAAGGAGACCGTTGCCACAGTGATGTGTCCAGAACAGTAACCAAGCTGATTTCACCCCCACTTGACCTGGCCCCACATCTCCCACTGCCACACAGAAAGAAATCACAACACATAAGTCCATGCCTGGTACAAGGAGATGATGGATAAAGGATAAAGCCCTAATGGGGGCGCAGATCAGCACGCCACACACAAGGCTCTGATTATGTGGTCTGCCACACATACCAACTCCAAGCTGCCCTGCCAAATGTTTTACTCCGCACCCCTAGAGCAAGCTGCCTGGCCCACCAGCACTGCAGTCCGGACTCTTCCAGCCCTGGTCCAGACTGGGTAGATGGAGGGTACTCACCCAGCGAAGTCCCTGGATGCAGCTGGGCCGCCTGTGCTCGAACACCAGCTGGTAAGAGCAGCACCGGGGACGGTGCATTCTTTTCAGCACCATATTGAGCAGCGTGCCCTCTGGAACCACGTCAGGGAGACTTCCCACCTGCGATGCCCCCACAGCTGGACTCTCCACCACAGCTGGGCCCACCTGCCAGTGGTTCTCACCTGGCCAGCTGACCTGTGATTTAAGGAAAAAAGTGGACAGCCATCGGCTGGAGAAGCTGGATCTCCACACTACACCACGTTTAGCGTGCTCTGCACTTGGACTGGTCAGGCGGAGGTGCAGCAAGCCTGCCAGGAGCCGGGGGAGGGACAGGAAGACCTGCCCCGGGTCCTGCTGGCTTGGCGCACCTAGGGGTCTCCAGCTGGCTCACAAAAATGGGGCCCTTCTCAGTCCTCCCTGGAATTGTGCCTCGCCTCACTGCCCATGTCCTGCAGGCATGTCCACCTCTCCCGGCTTGAGGCTGTACACACACTAGATCCCCAGAAGCAGCTTAGCCTCAAACTCTCCTCCCCACCACCTCCCACCCAAACTCCCCACGTGTCGGCTTCCTCTCCCGCCCTTTTCAGCAGCTTTCTTTGGCTCTGACCCGGGCTCCACCTTACCCACCTTCATGTTTCTTCTCCAACTCACACAGCGGTGCACGCTCTAGCAAGAGGCTGGAGGATCCCTGGTGCGCTCCAGGGCAGCTCCAACCTGGAATCCTGGAGGGGTGTGGGTGCTAGCGACACCCGGGCGGCAGCGAAGGGCCAGTTCCCAGCAGGACAGGTTGTCTGGAGGAGCAAGATGCAGGGCTAGGCAAAGGGGCTCGACCTGGGTGAGTAGAGGTCTAAGGGGAGTGGGGAACCCCACCCCTCCCCAAAGACTAAGAACTCCGAGCCTTCTCCTCGGTTCCAGATGTAAGCGCCAGCTGGCACAGGGCGCTCAAGAGAAGCTGCAGCTGGCACTGATCCGGGCGGGAGCTGTCACACCCCCTGCGCTGCCCGCCCCTTCCCCTCCCCTGGACAGGCCGAGGGGGCGGGGAAGAGGCACAGGCTTGACGGTAGGGGTGCTCATAGGGGAAGGGGCCGGACCCACAGTTGATGGAGTCCCTACCCGGGACTACGTCAGTGGGTTCAGGCTCCGGACCCGAAGCCCCAGCGGGTAGGAAGTGCCTTAGGGTGAATGCCCCAGTCTCAGCCCAGGCGCCGGGTTAGGGGCGGTAAAGGCTGCACCCGCCGCCACGTGGCCAGGAGGAGAAATGCAAACAAGGAAACTAGGGAAGGGGGAGAGAGTGAGTCATGGCCGCCCCACCCGAGAGGGAAATCCGGGCTGGGGCTGCTTCCTGACCAGGGGCATCCGGCCTCCCGTTTGGGTTCAGGGTCTCCAGCAATCTTCTTGTGGGGAATCCCGATGTCTGGCTTTCCACCTTTGCCCTCCCAATAGCGCGGATTGGGAAATTGAGGCTGGAGGGGCGGGACGATATTCCAGATGGCGAGAGGGACGAGCAGATGCATAGATTGTGCCAGGGTTTAGATTTATGGTAGAGTTTCAAAGACAGGCTGGACTTTAAAGGGTCACGCCTCTCACTCACTCCCCTTCCCCCCGGGCTCCCCTATGCCCGGCTAGGTAAAAGCCGAGGCCCCACATCTCCCTGGGCCTCATTTCTAGTGCCACACAGATGGCGGGCACTTCGTCTCACTCATGCCTGCTTCCAAGTGGACAGAGACTGTGACCTGGGACGGCGATTTCCGTGGCGCCCGATAATTGCTCAGGACATTAATGAGGGTTTAGAAGGCACAGGCCCCGCCCCCAGCGTTCAAGGACTCATCCCTTAGCCCATTCTCTTCTCCTTTCCCACTGCTTGGGGGGATGGGGTGCTAAATCCAGCACAGCTAAGTCCATTTCCACCCAGAACTGATTTCTTGATGCGAGAATTTTAATCATCATTAAAAAACCCGAATTTTAATGCGTGTGTGTCTCAATAGTTTTTCTCTCCCAGGGGCGTTTTAGCACGAACGTTTTAACTCCTCCAATTCTGATACCATCTGACCGGCACGAAACGGAAAATCCGTACTTTGAACAAACACTCCATGTCGCCTGTGGCTCCTACCCTTTGAGACACGCTAGGGGGGGGTTTCACTGCTCCTCCGAGGAAAGAAGGGAACCTGGGAAGGAGTCCTGCCCACCACTCAAGTTCTTAGAACTTGGAATAATGACTTGGAAACTTGGCCTAAAAGGATAAGAAATAGTCTCAGGAATGTTGGGCAGGAATTGTGGTTGGGGGTGCCGTGGTGGCACTCAGGATACCGGATCTGGCTTAGAAGGTCTTGCAGAAGAGTTCCCTGGAACTGGCTGTGGAGTAGGAAAGTCCCTGTTTCCTACTCCCTTTGCCCCACTTAGGGCAGGAGGGAACAATGCCGAGAGACGAGAGACAAGGCAGAATACCTGCTTACCTGTTGATCTAACCATGTGCCTGACCCTGCTTCCTGTCTAAGGACGATCCCATCCAGGCTGTCTGGCTCTGCTTTACCTAAGGGGGAAGCTCTGGGTACCTTTGGAGGTATTTCAGAGACAAGATGCACCTTGAATGAGGACACCATGATCCCCATAGACCACTGCCCCTCAGAGAATGAAAAGACCAGTGGCCTGAGAGTCACATTCACCCTTCCTGACTGGCATACAGTGCAACGTGCCCCTGTCGCCACGCCTTCTCCTTGAGGGCCTGGACCTTCAAACTGGGACTCCAACCCTTTCCTAGGCTGCTTTTGTTTGTCACGGCAGTGAGGAAAGTAGTTAACACACAGGAAGCACCTGAGAAAGTCATTCAAACGGCAGCAATGATTGTCCCAAACGCACTGGCCCAGCTTGCTCTCATTCCCTCTGTCCTAGGAAGCCACAATGCTGGTTTTTGTGCTTACCTAGTCAGCAGCGACCTGAGCCACCAAAAATAATTAGACAGCCCTTCTTGGCAGGAGTCAGGTTTCCTGTCACCTGCCCATGCAGTGGGTCTTCCTGGGATTGATAGACGGGACCTAGCCAGTGCAATTACTGCTCCTTAGATGTTCCACTGAGGCTGAGGGCCACGGGACAGGGAAGGATGTCTGAAGAAGACATCCGGGCAGATGGGCCATCTTGGAGGTGGGCATGCCATGCCTGTTGCAGCATCCACCCTCCCCAACTGCCATTACATGCCTGGTAGGTGCCTTAGACAGAGAAATAATAATTAAAGTTAACAGGCACTACGTCCTGTTTTTAATACTTCGTTTATATTCTCTTAATTGTCACAACAACCCTGTGAAATGACATTACCATTATCCCATTTTTCAGATGAGGAAGCTGACTCTCCAAGATGTTATATAATGTGCTCAAGACCTTCCATCTCAAAAGTGCTGGAGCCCTGAGGGATTCTACCCAAAGGGTCATTGAATCTGTGTAGTCCTACTCTAGAAACACTAGGAAAGCTCCTACAAAGACAAAAGCCCGCATCAGGAGCCATGCTCCCAACCCTGCCCATTCTGGCTCTGGAGGTCAGAGAGGACCAGACAAGGGATGTGAGAGGCACATCAAATCCACTTGATACGGGCTGTCCTTTCAAGAGAGCTTCTGCCGGAATACAGGTCCCCTAGGACCCGCTGTCTCTCAGGTATATGGTGGTTCTCCTGGTGTCTAGGCATGGAGGTAGGAAAGCCTAGGGGGTGCTGAGAACCAGGTTTTGACTCTGGACTGTGTCTCTTCCAGCTAGGCCTCTTGGCTGACTTTGCACACACTGAGCCCACAGCTTTCTGGATTTCTGCTGGAACCTTACACGTGCCCAACACTCTCCTCCTGCCCCAGGGGGCTCCACGAGCCCAATACTCTCTTCCTGCCCCAGGGAACTCCTCCTCCAGTCAGCTTTGCCTCCCAGCTCCGGGAGTCCTGCCAGCGCCTAAGCAAGAAACCTGTAAGGTAGTGCCCTTCTCCTACAGCCAATCAGGCACCTAGGTGGTTGGGTCAGCCAATAACACGCCTCTCCTTTCCCCACTGCTGCTGCTACCACCCAGCGGTGGCAGCCCACTCATCTTAGTGCTCGCTCTCTCAGAAAAAACACTTTTCTTTCCTTACACCTTTGATTTGCAGCTGAGGGAACTGGAGCACAGAAAGGTGAAGTAATCTACCCAAGGTCACACTGCCAGCAAACTGTAGAGCTATACTTGGGCGCCTAATGACAGCCCGTGTTCCTATCTACTGTCAACCACCTCTCCCATCCCTGATTGTTGCCTCTGCCGCACCTCCCATCATCCTCTCAGTGTGGTGCCTCAGCATTAATAACAATCTTGAATTCGTTTGACATTTACCGGAGTTGTCAGGAACTGTGCTGTAGAACCAGGTAGCTGATGCCACCCCCAAACTCCGGGCACAGGCTGGTGGGGTAGCCCAGCTGACAGAGTGCTGGCCTAGCATGCCACAAAGCTCCAGAATCCATCGCCAGCAGCGAATAAATGAATGTCGGTACATGCCTGTAATTCCAGCCCTGGAGACGTGGGGGCAAGAGAATAAGGGGGTCATCAGCTATATAGCAAGTTCAACGTCAGCCTGGACTACAAGAGACTGCCAGAGAGAGGGTGGGGGGGAAGGAGGGGGAGGGAGGAGAGAGAGAGAGAGAGAGAGAGAGAGAGAGAGAGAGAGAGAGAGAGAGAGAGAGAGAGAGAGAGAGACTGACTTTGGGAACGTAACATCCAGTGGGGTTATCTTTCTGTCTCCCTCGTCAGCACAGTATGTGGCATAAATAGTTGCTGGCGTCATGATTCTGGATGGAGATGAAGTCAAGGAGAACTCTGGAAATCAGATGCCGCCTGCTGCGGACCTGGACCCGCACCGTGCAGATGTGGGTCAGTGAGAAGCATTGGTCCTGTCGGTTTATTTTCAAGGTGTTGCCTTCCTTCACGTTCCTTATTCCTTCACAAGCTCTCTTCACAGCATTGGAGGTGGAAGAAGCTGTTAACGTGTGGCCTTCAGTGGAACTGCAGAAAAGAGGCAGTTTGGAGAGTGACCTGAAATAAACAGCAGAGGAGTTAAGGTCTGATGCCAGCCCTCTCCCAGGGTCCCTGGACTTCTACCTTGGCTAGAATAAGCAGTTATGGGGAAAGATAAAGACAAGCACCCAGCCCCCCCCCCCTTGTCTGGACTCTGTCTCTGGGCTCCGGAAAGTCCTCTAAATCTCTTCCTAGACTCCTTCTCCAATTAGTGGTTCCAGTTCAGTTACTCCTGTCCTCTCCTGCCCATTCCTGGGGTGGGGGCAAAGGCAGGGAGCTGGAATGTTGATGGGCACGAAGCCAAACCTTCCTAGGACTAGCAGGTCAGAACCGGTCACTCATGGGCCACTTTGGACATGGATGTGAGCAGAAGAAGGCTGGTCTCTGCCTTCCCTAAGTTGGGGAAATGAGCAAGCAGGGTTTACAGGCGGGTCTGAGGACTAGCAGGGATCTTGCTGGAACATGAATAGGGACATGCTTCCTGCTGGTGCTCAAGATCTCGGTGGGTGGCAGAGGGGTAAGGAAACACTTTCTGAAAAGACCTGAGGTGTTGACCAAAGGGTGGAGAGCTGGTGGGAGGAGACAGGCTCACAGAAGGCATAAGGCCAAGTCTAGAAGGGCCTGCAGTGGAGAGCAGGCCAGTTACTCAGAAAATGTGTGTTACACCAAAACACATCAGATAGCCTGGCTTCTGCTTCTCTAGGAGGAGGGGAGTCAGACAAAGGGACAGACACACATACACACACCACGCACATGAGCGCAAGAGACGTCAAATGTCCTGGAGACATCCCATTTGACCTTGGTCAGTACTCAGAAATGGCTACTCCAGTTGGGACTCGCTTTCCCCTTCTTCCAGTACCTTCTGCCTTCCTCAGCTAACATCTCCCCATGGAAGACCACCTGGCCATCTGCAGACCACCACTCCTCCCAGGGACCCTCTTCCAGTGTTCCCAGACTTTACTAAACTGTTCCCATCTTCACCTATGCTGAGCCTTTGGACTCTGTCCAGCCCTCCCTGATACCTGCTTTTGGATACTGGCAAGGTGGTGGCCATAGGAGCCCGGGAGAGAAGTCCTGTTGGGTAGGCCTCCTGCATCCCAGGCCTGACTGCTGGCTTGGCCCAGCTGTCCTGAGTACTGGCTAGGGCTGAGGAGGGAGGAATAGGGGAAGGTGCGCAGCTTTGCATTTAGGCCAGGAATAGAATCTCTCTCCAGCATCAGACCTGCCCCAATCCTGCCCCCAAATCCTGCTCAGGAAATGCTGGGGCCAGAGAGGAAGCTGCACAGTCCAAGACTTCCTGGCACCAGATCCACTGCCCATTTCCTCCCTTCAGAGAGGCCCTGATCAGAGACCAGGGGAGGTGCAAAGATGGAAACCAGAGAAGGAAGCAGAGAGCCAAAGGGATGTCTATAAATCCAACTGAGAGACCGCCACAGACGACTTTGCCTGGAATGGAGGGCGGCCTCAGTTATTCAGACTTCCCACGTTAGGACTACAGGGACTGCTTTCTGCTCTTCAGCCTCTCCCTCTTCCTCCTCCTCTTCCTCAGGGTTTGTTACCTTCAGGGGAAGGGGTGGGCCAGTCAGATGCTCCACATAGACACATTGCAGGAGTGGTAAGAATTCTGGCCCGATCCCTTGACTACCCAGACTCTTCAAGCCTCCATGGAAGCGCCCTCCCCAATGGGCCTGGGAGTCATTACAAACTGAGCCACTGCCCAGTTGCTTTCCCTGCAGGTGACCTACCTGCATCAGTTTTGGTACTGACTGGTTTTCCTGTGTCAACTTGACTCAAGCTAGAGTCATCAGAGAGGAAGGAGCCTCAGCTGAGGAAAGGTCTCCTTGAGATCCAGCTGTAGGCATTTTCTCAATTAGTGATCAATGCGGGAGGGCGTAGCCCATGGTGGGTGGTGCCATCTTTGGGCTGGGGGTCCTGGGTTCTATAAACATGCAGGTTGAGGAAGGCATGGGGAGCAAGCCAATAGGCAGCACCCCTCCATGGCCTCTGCATTAGCTCCTGCCCTCCAGATTCCTGCCCTGTTTGAGTTCCTGTCCTGACTTCTTCTAGTGATGAACAGCAATTTAGAAGTTAAAGCTGAATAAACCCTTTCCTCCCCAACTTGCTTTTTGGCCATGGTGTTTCGTCACGGCAACAATTAAGCCAGACTTCCCTTGGAGTTTCATATTCCCTGCCCCATTCCAGACACTCACCGTGCCCACTATTCCAAGAGCCCTCTGTGGGAGAAATCCGTGGCCACTGAGGGGGAAATGGCTTTGGGATCCCTGCAAACCTCTCACCCATTACACTGGTTCTGCTTCAATCAGATTGTGTGCCAGGGCAGCCTGTGGGGGGGGGGGTGCCCTGAGGTGAGAGGGGTCATTGAGGTTTCCCTTTCCTTCCACTGGTCCTTTCTCCCTTCCTTTGGCTCCCGCAGAGATCTATCTTTGTGCCTTTCCACCCTGCCCATGGCTTAGCTGCGCTTCTACTGCCTCCCCCCGTCGCTGATGCAACCCTTCCTCCTCCAGAAGGGGTCATCAAGCATGGCCCTCGGGTGCCACGCTTGGGTCCCTACTCTGGAAGAAGCCAGAGATCAACCAGTTTTTAGTTTTTACTCACCACTGCCCTCATTACCAGGGATCTGCCTGCTTTGGAGGAAGCCTCCGGGGGAGTTCCTCGGGTAATGAACCCATCCCAAATTCCAGTCTCAGCGTGAGTCTTCATCATTCCTTGTGCCAGGCTTTAGTGGCTGGCCTTCCACCCCATAGCTGCAGCCTGACGCGGCCTGACTCTTCCTCCACCCGCTTCAGCGAGCAGCGACTCACCCAAGTGAATCAGCACTGTAGGCCCGAGGCTGCAGTCCTGCTGAGGTAAACACAGGATTTACCTGGCCTCTGTTTCCCACACGCCAACACTCCCCACTCCGGAGGAGAGGGGAAGCAGAGATTCAAATAGGTCCTATGACTGGGGCCTCACCCTGCTCTTCCTGGGCTGTTATAGTGGTAACATCATCCCCTTCCTTCTAATGCCCTTTTAGCTTTTGTCCAAATAACCGTGGCTTTTGCCTGACATCTTCTCACTCATCGCCCTGGGCTCTGAAAGAAACTCTAGGCCAGTGGTTCTCAACCTGTGGATTGTGACCCTTTTGGGGAGGGGGGTCAAATGACCCTTTCATAGGGGTCGCCTAAAGAGCATCAGAAAACTGATATTTACATTAGGATTCACAACAGTAGCAAAATTGCAGTTTTGAAGAAACAATAAAAATAATTTTATGATGGGGTCACCACAAAATGAGAACTGTATTAAAGGGTTATAGCATTAGGAAGGTTGAGACCCACTGCTCCAGGCTCTCAGGTAAGCAGAGAAATGGGGACTAACTGTGAAGGGAGACTTCAAGTAATTCTATTCCAGCCCTAAGACCCTGTTCTAGGGGCAGAAGGTCACCCCAGACCTGGGGATCAGATTTCTAGGGCCGAGATACTCCTGTGATGTGGGATTTCCCTCTGTATGCTATGAATATGTTTTATTACCATTGGTTAATAAAGAGGCTGCTTCAACCTATATATAGTCAGACTGGAAGAGAGAGAGAGAGAGAGAGAGAAGGTAGAGTTAGAGAGAGACACATGTAGCTGCTGAAGGAGAAAGACGCAAGAATAGAAACACCCTGTATGCCACAGCCTTGTGACGATACACAGGTTAATAGAAATGGGTTAATTTAAGATGTAAGAGTTAGTTAATAAGAAGTCTGAGCTAATAGGTCAAACAGTGATGTAATTAATAGTTTCTGTGTGATTATTTGGGTCTGGGCGGTTGGGAAATGAAGGAACAGTCTCCTTCAACACCTTGAATATGGAGCCTCAAAACTTCAGTGATTGGGGCCCTACTTGCAGCTCACCTTCTAGATCAGTTCTTTCTAAAGTTTTCTAGTCCATAGACCTGACCTCAGGATAAAAATGGGAATGCAGAAGTGGAGAGAGATAGCTGGGAAGTGGTGTCCCACACCTTTAATCCCGGAATTTGGGATGCAGAGACAGGCAGATCTCTGTAAGTTTGAGGCCAGCCTGATCTACAGAGGGAGTTCCAGGACAGCCAAGATTTCACAGAGAAACCCTGTCTCAAACAAATAGAAGCAGAAGAAGAAATTTAGGACCCCTTCCCTGTGTCAGATACAGCCTTGGGCTGCCATTACCAAGGGCTTCAGTTTTGAACACCTTGGGGATGGGGAAGACAGGGTGATGAGGTAAGTAAGATCTGGGCAGAAGAATCTAAGAAAATTCACAAGCTAATTTTAGGTCTCCAGGTTTTAGTGGACCTGCATAGCTGAATACGAGGGTTCAAGGCTGGGGAAGGTTGCCCCCTAGAGCCAGGATGGAATAATTCTGTACGGACAGCTAGCTTTTCTTTCCCTTAATTATTGCCGAGTTCCTCCTCGCTGTGCCCCTGGGAAACAGGAGGACTAATCATATGACCTGCTCTAGACCAGTGGTTCGTAACCTTCCTAATGGGGCAACACTTTAATACAGTTCCTCATAAATATTTTTGTTGCTACTTCATAACTATAATTTTACTACTGTTATGAATCGTAATGTAAATATCTGTGTTTTCTGATGTTCTTAGGTGACCCCTGTGAAAAGGTTGTTTGACGCGCCCCCCCCCCCCCCCCGGCAAAGGGATCATGACCCACAGGTTGAGAGCTGCCTTTCTAGGTTGAGGGGCTTCCTGGGTTGTATGGCTCTTACTTGTAAAGCAGGAAAAACCAGCCATCAAGATGGCTTACAGATTAAAGATATTTGCTGCCATGCCTCCTGATGATCAAAGTTCAATTCCTGGAACCCACACAATGAAAAGAGAGAACTCAGTTTGTTCTCTGATTTTGGTGCATGTATCTAATCCCCCCCCCCTCTCTCTTTCTCTCTCTCACACACACACGCGCACACGGTTAGTCTGTATAGAAAGAACTTAATAGACCGGCAAGTGTTATGGGAATGTCCTGTTTTAGAGAGGGGGTCTGAAATAACCTTTCTGAAGAAGAAACATTTGAGCTGAGACTTGCACACATTAATCCCAAAGATGGGAAAAGAAAGACCACTAACCCATGATGGCCAATTAACTAAAGGAAGCTTTTTTATTATTCATGTACAAAGACTACCTCCCCCTAAGGCAGGGTTGGAGAGGTCAGTATTGGATCTGAGGAAGACAAGGTTTTTGTAGCTCAGGGATAGGGGGTTTCTGTTGTTGGGGGAGCTGCTTGTTTTTCCCAGCCACTTAGCTCCAAAATAATCACACAGAAACTGTATTAATTAAATCACTGTTTGGTCCATTAGCTCTAGCTTCTTATTGACTAACTCTTATATCTTAATTTAACCCATTTCTATTAATCTGTATATCACCACAAGGTCGTGGCTTACCAGCAAAGTTTGAGCATGTCTATCTCCGGCAGTGGCTCCATGGTGTCCCCGACTCCACCCCTCTTTCTCCCAGCATTCAGTTCAGTCCTCCCACTTACCTAAGTTCTGCCCTATCAACAGGCCAAGGCAGTTTCTTTATTCATTAACGGTAATCACAGCACATAGAGGGGACTCCCACATCAGGTTTCCAAATGGGTGGTTTGGCAGGCAAAATAGGAGGGGTTACAAGAGCAGAACACAAGCATAGCAAGTGAGTCATAATGATCTCCTGAAACAAAGACGTGGCTGCAAGGTGAGTATAACAAGGTAGTCATGATAACAGGTAGTCATAGCAAGATAGTCATAGGTGGACAAATAATGTAAGCAAAGACATATTTACAAGGTGATTATAAACAACTTTTTGAAACAAAGACATGGTTGTTATTCCTGGAAAAGGCAGTACAGAGCCATTCTAGTTAAGGTTACAGGTGGGGCATAGCCCAGGCCTTGAGAAACAGATTTAATGATAAACAGGAATGAGCATAGTTTTCCTTTACTATAAAATGGCTTTTAAGCCTAAAATGGAGGCAGGCTGGCTCTTCAGAATGATGGCAGAACAACCTTAAAAGCAATCAAAGAGCTTTCTGGATACACTGAGCAAAGGCTCGGGGCTGGGAACAAACGCAATGCTTTAAAGAAACCTCAGTGAGCAAATGAGGCTGGTAGGAGTTGACACTGTGTTAATCAGTTTATTTATGAGCTATGGGAAGCTATGCAAGGATTGAAGCTGGGAGGACTATCCTGTGCTGTGGGGTAGAAGCGGAGTTAAAGGGAAATGAACAAATGGGGTCAGCTAAGAGGTTCTGGTGGGTGGTCATGAGAGTGGCTGGGATGTGGACAGAGAACAAGGTGGATTCAACTGGATTTGCTAAGGTGTTACATGAGGGGGGGGGGGAATGGAGACTCAAGGTGTGGAACCCTCAGTAAACAAGGATGAGCCCTCAGAGAGCATCTGAGGTTCTTCTGTGAGGAACTAAGGAGCCAAGAGGAAGAGGCCCTCAGAAGACCGTTAACTCAGTAGTCTGTAAGATAGCTCAGTGGGTGTAGCCCTAGCTCTGTGGAGAATGAAAAATGTCTGGTATGTGCCTTAGGGGTGGGTAAGGAAGGAATTTCTTAGGAGGCATCGACATCTGCAAAAGGGAGTTGCCAACATTGGTGGGAAAGTTCAAAAGTGACTTTAGAGCCTGGGATCAAAACAAGTGTTCTTTAGTTGACTGAAGTGTAACGATGATAAAGCCGGAGGTAAAGGCAACTGCCCAATTTCAGAGGTGTCTGTCACTCAGTAAAGATGCACCCCAGCCATTGTTAGGGTCCAGACCTGGGGAGGCATAGGGGCTGCATCTGCCCAATTAGTTCATTCCTGCCCAGCAGAGTCAGCCTTTCAACACCCCGCTTTCACACAGCCTCTGGGTTCATCACAACAGAAGGAGGGATTCAGGGCGTAGAGGAGACTTTTATGAGTTTCGCCTAGAAATGACATGTGCTGTTTCTGCCTGAAGTTCATTGCTCAAGAATTCGTGGTGTTCATTGATTCAACTCAGTTGGGGTAGAAGGGCCTTGGTGGGCCTGGAAATATAAACATGCCTTTACCAGAGTCAGCTGCAATGATTACTTTTAAATTTTAAATGTATATTTAAATATATATTTAATTTAATCAATACATATTTAATAACTATATTAATGTATTTTATTATATTTAGTTCAATTAATTTAATATTATTTAGAAATATATTTTAAATATATATAGAGATAGATAGATAGATAGATAGATAGATAGATAGATAGATAGATAATTTAAGACAGTGTCTTTATGTATCCCTAGTTATCTTAAAACCTGTTATACAGGCCAGGCCAGGCTGGCCTGGAACTCATAGAGACCTGCCTGCCTGCCTCTGCCTCTGCCTGCTGAGTTCTGGTATTAAAAAGTAGGTGATGTGTCCTGAAGAGGCATATGGATATTGGTGGTCTCTGCTTTAGACAAGGAGAATGGCTGTCTTATAGGGGACCAGGGTACCGTCCTAGTTAGGATTGGCATCTGCTCTCTGAATGACACAGAAAGAAAGCTGGTGTGGGAAACATGTGTATGTGTGTGTGTGTGTGTGTGTATGTGCGTGCGTGCGTGTGTGTGCATGCTTGCGTGCCTGTGTGTGTGTATGTGTGTGTGCATGCTTGCGTGCCTGTGTGTGTGTGTTATCCCACCAATGTGCTCTGAGGCTCCACCGGCCTTCTCGTTTTCCTACTTCAAGGTCTCTCTCCAGAGCAGATCTCAATTATCCTACACTTTACTGCTTGTCTTAAGTTACTAGGACGAAACACCAGGACCAAAAGCAAGTTGGGGAGGAAAGGTTTATTTGGCTTACAATTACACATCACTGTTCATCACCAAAGAAAAATCAGGACAGGAACTAAAACAGTACAGGAACCTGGAGGCAGGAGCTGATGTAGAGACCATGGAGGGGTGCTGCTTACAGGCTTGCTCATCAGGGCTTGCTCAGCCGGCTTTCTTACAGAACCCAGGACCATCAGCCCAGGAATGGCTGCGCGCACCATGGGCTGGACCCTCCCCATCAATCACTAATTGAGAAATTGCCCTGGATCCGGGTCTTATGGAGATATTTTCTCAGTTGTGTTTCCCTTCTTTCAGATGGCTCTAGTTTGTGTCAAGTTAGCATAAAACTAGACAACACACCACTAGAAATAGCCGTGCAATGCTTCTCCTCGACAAGAAGCCTTCTGTAATCTAGACACGTTAGTCTAATTTACCTCCTCACGGCACAGCTCATGTCATGTGACCCTTTTTAAATAGTGACAACAGTCTCTGTGGCAGCATTAGTGACTTGCTACATTACTGTGTTGAGCTCCTGACTGAGTGCTTAGCAGCGGTCATCGTTCCCTCTAGAAGCACGGAGCCACAGGAGTCCTGAGCATTACGAGCTGCGCTATCTAAAGTTGTGACCTCTTAGCCATATGCAGCTATTTTAATTAGACATAAGTAAGAAAAACTCAGCCGTGTATCTCCCACTCAAAGGCAAGGTGTGACCAGGGCCCCAGTGCACAGCACAGACAGAGACTGGCTTTCTTTGTGGCCGAAAGTTATTGTGGGTAGCTTTGAGTTATTAGAAGGACCTGGCTTGGAGACTGTGAAGCTAAACCTCTGACTCTTCTGGAGTCTCCAGCCTTTTAACAGCCCCTTGCTTTCTCCACATTTCTCTACACACGTACATTTCAGCCTAGCCTTGTCTCCTTTGGAGAGCCCGGGGCCCGGACTCTGTTACATAATCATCTCATTATTTTCTTTCACAACCCCACTCTCTACACAAGCTCCTCTCCAGTCCGATACTCATGGTACGTTTGCCATCCTCACTCCTGCCAACCGTGCGAAAGAGTTAATACCTGATCGTTTAGGTTAAAATGACTTTAAATATTTCTAGACTCGGCTCCTTCTTTCCCTTCTTCTCTGCCCGAACCAGCTCTTGCCAGGGCAGCTTTTGGCTGCTACTAATTACACTTTCTGGCTTTTACTGAGAACCCATGGTGTGCCAGGAAGTTAGCCAAGCACCGACTGCTCCTCAGAACTCTTTGAAGTGGGTATGGCGGCTGTCTGTCTCCATTTCATAGCCACAGGAAGCACTGTACTGAAGTGGGAAGGACACGTCCCACTGATCTTTCTGCTTCTAGGCTTTCTTTCCCAGGCGGTCCCTTTTCACAGTACTACCGGGCTGTATCACTCCAGGCCATGGGAAAGGAGGTAGATGCTGCAAGGCCCTGGATACTCAGACTCGAAGTTCAAAATCCACCCTCAAATCCAAGAGTCCAGCTACAAAAAGCTGCTGCTGTTTTCAGAACATTCTCTTGTGCACTTTCCCTAGGGCTGTCTTCACACAGACTGCTCCTGATTCCTAGGATGTTGTCCATCCCGGCGGGCCCTGTGGGTATATATGGCGGTGCCCTGGACCTCTAGGCGCTGTTCCTCTGAGTGACTAGCACTTTCATCTCCACCTGCCTTCTACAAGAGGGCTGAAATGAACTCGTGCATCAAAATCACTCCTTGTTAAAAATATACACCGAGCCAGGAATGATGGATCACTCTAGCACTTTGGAGGCCAGGCTGGAGGTTTTGACTTTGAAGACAGCCTAGGCTACAAAGCAGTGTCAAACCGACTTGGCTATATAGTGACACCTTGCCCCAAAGTTCGAAAGGCACCTAAACCAATCAATCAAAACGAACAAACAATTCGGCATTCAGATCTGAGTAAGCAAGAGCGGCACTGGAATTAGTTTGGATATTTTTAAAGATGCACCCCCCCCCCCAGATTATTTAGAATTAAGGCAAATGCGGTTTACACCACTTGCTTGGCTGTTCCGCAGTCCTACTTAGGCTGCTTGTGTGTAATGCATCGTTCTTTACGGCTCACCTCCATCCTTCAGCATCATCTGTTCGACAGATGTTCATTAAGGGAGTTTGGGGATGTCTGACATGCTGCTTGGTGTTGATGCCGAGGAAACTGGCACCGCCGCCGCTCATGGAGTTGAGATTCTAGTCGAGCAGGCGAATCAGGCAGAACAGCAGCCCTCGAGACATATCTGAGCCCCTGTGAGTGGCGAGTACCTTACAGTAGTTTTGCTGAAGTGAGGACATTAAGGATCTTGAGATGGAGAGATTAGTTTGGATTATCTTAGCTTGCCTGCATCGCCCAGAAACTGGAATA